ACGTATCACAATTTTTTTTAATTCTTTCGTCTCTTCACCGAGTACGAAAAATCTACTTGAGTCTATGCTCGATATAATTTCACTACTAACAATTGTTATCTAGTGAGAATTTTAACAAAGTCAATATTTATCTAATAAATTCTCATACCTTTCCTGGAGCAGAGGGATGCGAGAGTCGTGGATGTGACTGACACATTTTTTTTAAATCAAATTTCGATCCGAAGATCGGGTTTAAAACCATTTGCTCCGATACCAAACTGTAACACCCTAATCCGTCCAGGTCTGCAGCCCCATTCGGACTAAAGTATTTAACTTGGTAATCGTAAAAATTTAAAACTTTTCAAACACACTTTATTAATCTCAATAATATTTTTCATAACATATACATTACGGAGTATTAAACAATATTGCGGAAGCGATTTTAATATTGACATATCATAAATTGTTTCAAAACTTGTCACATCCATCCCGACAATCTCGCCCCATCTGCCGCCAGGATCACATTATGCTTTCTGCTTACCTGCGTGTAGCAAATAAAACACACTACACGCTCAGCGGTAAAGCTGAGTAAGCATATCTAATGTGTCGAACATCCATATAAACTGAATCTAAATTCATAATCAATCATTTGATATCATGCACACAATGTTCATTTCAGGCATTCACAGTTTTGGTATCGTTCAGTTCATATCAACACATTTTATTCAATTCAGATACTATTGCAATAGTGCTCTTAAATTATTCTTAATCTAAGGCCAGATCATAACAACGCTCTTAGCTATTCTTAGTCTAAGGCCAGATCATAAAAATGCTCTTAGCTATTCTTAGTCTAAGGCCAAATCATAATTTCCATAATCACATTCTTAAAAGGCAATTATTAATGAGACACTTAAACTATCATTAGTTTAAGGCAATTGATTTCGGACACTTAACTGTAGTCAGTTAAGGCAATCAGACACTTAAACTATCATTAGTTTAAGGCAAATGATTTCGGACACTTAACTGTAGTCAGTTAAGGCAACAACAATATAGCGATTGGTCAACAATGGATCGGGCATTCCCAACGAGTAATCCTCTAGTTTGGTCTACGAATCCCGTTTATGAATTTATATCTAATTCATCAACTATTCATGTTTTCATAAGTTCATTCTAAGATCTATTCTAGA